AGCAGCGAGTAAGCTTTTGTTGCAGTGAGGAGACAGCAGAACTCTGCTCAAGAGAGCAGCACAGAAGGAGACAGACAGAGCATCAGCATGCAGCAGCAGCATAATAGACGAGACAGAGAGAGACAGCAATAAAGCAGACAGACAGAGACAGAGAAACAAAGAGAGACAGACAAGAGAGAAAATAAAAAGGAGACAGACAAATACATTAAAAAAGAGGCCGATGCAGTTATTACAACAACATAAACACGTCCTACAAACCTCCACAAATATAGGGGCCCCTAGAGGCAACAGGGGGTCTCTAGGGCCCCCTATTAGGGGCCCTAGGGGGCCCCCAGAAAGCTCAGGCAGCTGTCTCCGCATCCAACGACCATTACTCTAAAAGGGCCCCCTAAGGGGCCCCTCTGAAGGGCCCCTTTAGGGGGCCCCTTTAGAGCGCTCCTGAGGGGGAGGCCCTTTACGGGGGCCCCTTTGGGGACCCTTTGGGGGGCCCCTTTGGGGACCCCCTTTGGGTGGCCCCTTTAAAGGCCCCTTGGGGGCCCCCTTGGGGGCCCCCTTGGGGGGTCCCCAAAGGGATACCCTTGGGGAAGGGGCCCTTTGGGGGGGCCCCCTTTGAGGGGCCCCTTGGGGGGCCCCTTGGGGGTGCCTCTTTGAGGGGCCCCTTTGGGGGGCCCCTTAGGTTTGGCGGTTTTAGGGTAGAGTACGAGTTAAGGGTAGAGATTCTCGCAGAGCGAAGAGGGCCTCATCTACTCGGCGCAGCAGCAGCAGAGCAGCAGCAGCTTCCTCGCGGGGGTCTTGCTGCTGCTGCAGCGCAGTACCTTCTGCTGCAGGAGATGCCCCTTCCCCTGCTGCTCCTGCTGCTGCTGCTGCTGCTGCTGAGGTGCCTGTACACCGCAGATGCTCTTCTAGTTCTGCCCACAGCAGCGGATTAGCCGCAGGGAATTGATGGAGGAGCTGCTCGCAGAATGCTGCTGCCTTATTTAGCACGCTGCCGCTGTTGCTGCTGCTGCTGCTGCTGCTGCTGTGGGGATCAAAGAGGTAGAAAGATGCAGCGCGAAGCAGCAGCAACTGCTGCGGGAGGCTCCGGGGCAGCAGCAGCAGCTGCTGCTGCTGCTGCACTGCAACAACTGCAGCAGCAAGCTGCAAGCTCCTTACCTCTGCTGCTTCCTGATCTTCTACATGGAGACCCAGCTGATGCAGCAGCTGCTGACGGGGGCCCTCATGCTGCAGGCGCTGCTGCTGCCAGAGAAAGGCAGCAGCAGCAATCCGCAGTAGCAGCGGCTGCGTTGCTGCTGCTGCTGCCTTGCTATTGGCGCTGCGGCTGCAGCGGACAAGAGCTTCAGCAGCAGCAAGCGTACTCTCGTGCTGCTGCTGCTGCAGTTCAGGAGCAGCAGCACCAGCAGAAAATGTAGGAGAGAAGCAGCAACTCGTCAAAGAAGCAAATGCCTCAGATAGGGCCCAGTGAGGAGACTGCTGCAGCAGCCCCGGCCAATCCACTGAAGGGATCAGAGCTGAACTGCTGCTGCTGCTGCTGCTGCTGCTGCTGCTGCTGCTGGAAGGAGCAGAGAAGGATATGCGTGCGCTCGCTAAGGGCGTTAGAGCAGCAACAGCAGAAGCACCAAAGCTGCTAGCGGCTTCTGCTGGTGCTGCTGCTGCTGCTGCTGCTGCTGAATCTCCCGAAGTGGTGTGGACAGAGAAGAGACGGGTGAGGGGCACAGCAGCCTGCTGCTGCTGCTGCTGCACTGCTGCTGCTGCTGCTTCATCGCATGCAAGGAGACCGTACATCGAATGCTGGAGACCAAAGGGGCCCCTCGAGTGTCTCTCTGCAGCAGGAAGCAGCTGCTGCAGTGCAGCAGCAACAGCTGCTGCTCCCTCTTCGTAAGCCTCAAGGCCGTCAACAGCAAACACCACTGCTGCATTGCTGCTGCTGCTGCTGCTGCTGCATTGCAGCGCCTGTGCAAGACGCAGGCCTAGGAGAGGCGCCGTAAAGGCTGAGACAGCAGCATCTGCTGCCGGGTGTACGTACAGCACCTTCAGGTGTATCTGCTGCTGCTGCTGCTGCTGCGCTGCTGCACCGAGGGCGCCGCGCAGCAGCAGCAGCTTCTCCTTAAGAGAAGAAGGAGACAGACCCAGCATGACTAGCACTGCAGCAGCCCCTGCCCTGTCAGCTGCTGCTGATGCTGCTGCTCCTGGTGCTGCTGCTGCTGCTAGCTGCTGCAGCCAGCATGCAAGGCTCTGCAGCAGCACTGCTGCCATTCCTGAGCCTTGGGGCCCGTGCAGCAGCAGCACATCGCCTGCTTGCTGCGGCAGCAAACTGTCTAGGGGGGCCCACCCAGACAGCAGCAGCGGCTTGTTGCTGCAGCTGTTGCTGTTGCTGCTGCTGCTGCTGCTGCCGTTGCGGGCCGTAGGACAGCCCCAGGTCTGTAAAGCAGGGTGGGGGCGGTGCAAGCCTGCTGCGGCTGCTGCTGCTGCTGCTTCTTGTTGCAGCTGCAGCAACGCGTCAGCAGCTGACAGCAGCTCGACGGATACACCGCATTCCTCCCAAACTTCCTTACAGCTGCTGCCTTTACTGTTGCTGCTGCTGCTGCTGTTACTGCTGCTGCTGCTGCTGCCTGCGGCGTCTACCAGCACGCAGGGGCTGTCCACGGGGATGAGCCGCTGCTGCTGCTGCTGCTGCTGCGTTTGCTGCAGCTGCTGCAGCAGCTCAGCGATGCTGCCAGGGGCACTTCTTGCAGAAGCAGCATGAGAACTAACAGCAGCAGCAGCAGCAGTTGCTGCTGGGTAGCCTTGTAGCCTCCCCACAACTGCGCAGTTTGTTTTCAGCTGCAGCACAACTCCAGTAGCGGCTGCTGCTGCCGCTGCTGCATCGAGCAGCACCGCATCGCCTAGACGGGCCTCTGATAGGCCCTCGCACAGAAAGACGCCCCCTGCAGAAGCAGCAGAAGCAGCAGCAGCAGCAAATCAATGGCAGCAAATGCAGCAGCAGCTGCAGAAGTACGAATAGCAGCAACCGCTGCAGCAGCTGCTGCAATAATAACCCAGCAACATGCTGAACCAGCAAGCCTGAGGCCCTCCAGCAGCAGCAGCAAAAGTAGATGCGTCAGCAGCAACAGAACAAACAGCAACGCCAGCAGCAAATTCAATAGCAGCAAATCCAGCGGCAGCAAAGCCAGATGCAACACATGCAGCAGCAGCACATGTAGCAGCAGCACAAGGAACAGCAGCACCAAAAGCAGCAGCAGCAGAAGAAGGGATAACAGCAGCAGCAGCAGCAAAAGCAGCAGCAGAAGCAGCAGCAGAAGCAGCAGCAGCAGCAGCAGCAGTACCCAGGGAGTCGTTGACGATGCCTTGTGCTGCATTTGCTGCGCTGCACTCCTTAAGAGGAAGGGGCCCCTTCTGTATCTGTCTAAGGAGAGCCGCAACACTCTCGGATGCAAACCCCCGCTGCTGCTGTTGTTGCTGCTGCTGCTGCAGTTGCTGCTGCTGCTGCAGCAGGTATAGTGGGTGTGCACGATTCAACTGAAGCGGCTTCGCCAGGCTCCTACGGGAGGAGGGAGGAGTTGCTGCTGCATCTGCTGCTGCTGCTGCTGCAGCAGCAGCAGCAGCAGGCGCTGCAGCAGCAGTAGCACGCGTTGAATCGACAGCTTTGGGGGGCCTTCGATAGAACCTTCCCCGCGCTGCTGCTGCTGCTGCTGCTGCTGCAGCGGCTGGTCTCCTCATTTGTTGTCTAAAGAAAAATATTTATTGTCTCAGCCTCTTCGTATTCTATAGTTTAACACGGGTTTCCCCCTTATTCCTGCAGCAGCAGCAGCAGCAGCAGCAGCAGCAGCAGCAGCTCCCGACGGTCTGGCGGGTCGGCTGCGGGGCTGCTGCAGGGGCCCCCTGTTGTTTTGAGTTTGTTCAGGGGTTTTGTTTGTGTGTGTTTAGAATAAGAATTACATTTAAAATATAAATTTTTGTCTTTTTCTTTGCAGCAGCAAACAAGTAAACCCCCGTTGCTGAAGCAGCAGCAGCAGCAGCAGCAGCTGCAACAGCAACAGGGGGCCCTTGAGGACAGGACAGCAAACCTGGCGGCAAAGCAGAGACAGCAGCAGTCTCTTAGACACATATAATCACGCATATCAATTCCTGCTGCTGCTGTTGCTGCTGCTGTTGCTGCTGCTGTTGCTGCTGCTGCTGCTGCAGCATCTGCGGCTTGTGAGGGCTCACCAGCAACAGCAGCCACTGATTGCTCTTGACTGCAAAACCCTCATCTCTAAACCCTAAACCCTCATATCTAAACCCTAAACCCTCATTTCTAAACCCTTAGCCCTCATTTCTAAACCGTCATCTCTAAACTGTAAACCCTCATCTCTAAACCCTAAACCCTCATCTCTAAACCCTCATCTCCAAACCCTCATCTCTAAACCCTCATTTCTATACCC